CTGGAGTTCTTGTTGATTCATGGGAAATAGAAGAAATACAAGGCTGAGATTTTGGCGCAAATCTACAGAATCTAGGAGAGCTTTGGTTGATACAGTAAGGAGGTCAGAGTGTTGTTAGATACAGTCATGTCTGGCGCACTGTAAGTTGGAGTCTTCTATAGTGAATCCCTACTGGCTTGTGCCCGAAATTTTTACCCAGTTGGGTTTTCTCCGTCAACAATTTTTGTGTTATTTATTGCTTTCTGTCAATTTCAATTCAACCGACAATTCAACATAGGTAGTTAAATCATGTGAATGAATCTGGACAACGTTTAATTTATGTGACTTGTTGCATAACTTAATTAAATTGTTAAATTCTGCATAGACACCTATTCACCTCCCCTCTAGGTGTTGATTGGGTCGAACTATAGCCTTTTCACATTCAATTCTTGAAAGTTAGAGAACATTCCCTTATCGATACATACATGGCAGGTAACAACGATGTCAAGCCACCATTCCCTTGTGTTGCCAATCATATTGCACTAGGACATAAGCGCCGAGAGGCTCATCGCTTGTATTCCTTTAGATAGGGTGTCCTTCTCGACCAAGTGGACTTGTGCATTCTTATTTTATTTTCGACATTTGCTTGAGCAATGTCTGACCTTTCTACAATTATAGCAATTTCCTTTAAACTTTTTTGCCTTCTTGAAATTATCTCTACGTAGTGCATCACTAGAGATCTTTCGCTTCTTGTTGACCTTTGGCTTGATTTCAACGAAGATTGTTCCAAGTTGAACAATAAGCTTCTTCTCAGTCTTCCTATTATCTTCCTCAATCCTTAAGCAAACGATCAACTCTTCCAAGTTCATCTCTTTACGTTTGTACTTGAGATTGTTTTTGAAATCTCTCCACAAAGGAGGGAGTTTTTCGATGATTGCCGCAACTTCGAATGACTCATTCAGTTCCTTTTTTTGGCATGGATGTCATGCAATAAGACTTGGATCTCTTGCATTTGGCTGATCACTATTTTTGAATTCACTATTTTGTAATAAGAAACTTAGCCAGATTTAGCGTAGTGAGATAAAACAACATTTTTTGTTGCCATCTCTTAAAGTCTACGTCACCAAACTTTTTTGATTTCTCCCTATGTGGGATTGACGTAGTTTGAATTGGTATTGCCATTGGAGGAGCCACATTATTTGCTCTAAACGAGACCAAAATTTCCATTCCGATTTAACTTGTATTATCCTCAACGGAAGTCAATTCCATTATACAAACAAAAGTTCAGCATAGTAACAATGAGAAAAATGAATAGTGCATGAAAACTATTCCAAATTAGAGTGTTTAAAACAACAACCGCAGACATGCAAGGTTTGTCTTAAGTTTGTTGTTCCAGGTAATTATTTTAGTGGTATAACGGTTGTATATGTTGTACATGAACAATGTTTCAACCCGTAGGAGCGTAGTCGAAGCGTTATTATTGTAAGCAAAAGTTCTAATCCGTAGGAGCGTAATTGGAACACAATGTAAGGACACAAGTATATGACTAAAACGACACACAAAACCAAATGAAATAAGGAGTAGAAAAAGAAATTCGAGGTTAGTATAACTCTTTCCTTAATACAAATTATCCCGTTACGGTGCTCACGGTTGAATGACAAATGTCTCTCAAGATACAACGGATACACACTTGTGGTAATAGCACTTCAAACCACAAAAACGGTGAAATTTTGACGGAATTTTTCCTCTACAAAGGAATGTTATGAGAATGAGAGAAAGATGAATTGCAAGAGAGGAATGGATGCTCAATGCAATGGTTTACTCAAAATCACGTCCATAGGGTCCTATTTATAGATGTAGTGAGGGTGGAAATGAAGTACTGTGTGCCAAAATTTGCATCCTTTTGAAAAGTTGCAATACTTTATTTCTTTCAAATTTAGACCGCAATTTTTCATTCATCCATAATTGATTTCGAGATTCCAAATATATCACGACGATCTACTCGAAGAGTAGAATAAATTGGTCTATTTACTTTTGTAATTTGACCATCGGATCAAGTCCGAATATTTGACCAAAATTGACACGAAGTCACACCTCTTAATTTTTCCAATTTTACACTTAACGAATTTTCGGTTAATTTTGGTTATTTTTGAACCAATTCCAACATAATGCTCAAGGGACTTTGTCATACATTCATATAAAATTCCTATTTTTTGGATTGATTCTACATTCGAAAGTACTTCACCATAGTCAATTAAGCATCAATCCAGATGTGAACATCTGGAAAAATTATCTGTATTGAAGAGAATACTCACATTTACACCGTTGAGATGAGAAATTTTTCCTTATCCACGCTCACTATCTGGCCTTTTTTCACTGCCAAATTGGTGTAAAAAATTTGAATCAAGCCCAATTTATTTCTCTGTCTTCCAATCGATACTTACTCAAATAAACAGGCTTTTTGGGCTTGGGAGTTGTTGTTGTAGTGGGTTCTGCATTGGATGATGAACCCTCTTCGATTCAGTTTGTGCAATCTTCTCATTCTGTGGTTCAGAGGACTTTTCAGCTCTAATCAATTTTAATTGCCTAATTTTGGATTTTCTTGGGTTCTTTGAGAACGTTGACATGCATGAGAAGGAGCTATGGAGAGCTGCAGAGAATGCCATGGAAATTTTGTTTATAGAGTTTCTCACTGTTCATTCTTTTCTGGATAAGGGTCTTCTTTGTTGAATTCTAAATGACAGACTTCCACGTGTATGTTTAAAGCATTTAATCGAATTTATTTATTATTATTATTTTTCTTTTTTATCAAAATTGGAAATATATAATTTCTATAATTAAATATGGAGAAAACCTGAATTGAATACTTCCCTAACTCTAATGTCACACGTTGAATGGTAAAGATATTATGTGAAATGTTGAAACATTCCGAGGTTGACCAAAATTGATTCAATTATTAAAATTAAAGTTGACTTGTAGCTTAATTATGGCTGGAGGCCCAACTAATTATTATGGTGAGGACTTCATTAGAAAAATTATCCCAATTCCTATACATTAGAAAAATTATCCCAATGATTTGGTCGCGTTGACTATGCTAGATGGGGTGGGGTAAGTTGAAGAGTATTTGTGATTAATTAATTGAGTAATTTGTGACCTAGTTTTATGACTAAATATGTAAATTGCGACATGCAATCTGTATCTTTATTATTGTGACTTTTGTGATTGTGCATGACTTTATTAGATGAATTATAGGTCACAAAATGTGACCACGTGATATTTGAAAAAAATTCTTAAGTTCGCTATTTTTGAAATTGTATCTTAATGCTTTGTGTTAATGTAATTTTTTCAATTTATAATTGAGCTTGATGCGTTTCATGGTTTTAACCCACATTTTTTATACAATAAATAAGTGTATCTCTATTAAATTTTTACCATGATGGATGAACCTTGTGTATATGTAAATTATAACTAGGTTCCATCTCCTCTCCAACTCATCGAGAGCCATTGCCATAGTTTGAAGTACGGAGAGACTTAGTCTGGTTGTGCTTACATTTACATATTATCATAATCGATCTGATGAATTTTTGGAAAGTCGCAAAGAACATGCAATTTCATTTTGTCTTCAAGAGTAACAGTTACATTATAGTTTTAATTTGTTTGATTTTATATTTTATTTTGATATGTGTTACAGAAAAAACTAACTTTTTCGGAATATGAATAACAATGAGTTTATATTATCAATGTTTTGAAAATTGGTCTCATTATTGATTCAAAAAATAAAAGGTCAACAAGGGTCAAAGGAACAAAACTATGGCCAAATTGGTGGCATATATATTAAAATGATAAATCAAAAGCAAAGTTTTGAGATGAAACAGCGAGTTTATTAGTGAACCAGCCTATTCGTTATTGTTTTGGAAATTTTTTATTTTACCTTTTTAAGCTATAGCTTGATTGGTATTTGATTTTTCCAGTAGATTCGTCTGATCTGATGTGAGTTTCAAAAACTTATATAGATTACACTGCATCGAGCCTCAAATAACTTATAGCTATTATCAATTTCAGAGTTCTTTTGGAATTACAAATGAATTCAACAAAATCTTGTCACAAGCATAACGTGTTTATTCTATGAGAATATAACGTATTGTAATTGACAAAAGATGTCATGACAAAATGAATTTTCAAGAAGCTCTTTAAATATAAAATGTTATTTTTTTTTATTTATCTCAAAGAGGTAATGTTGATAGTTAATGTTAATTTTTTATTTTATTTTTCTTCTGGTTTAAATTTTTTCTTCTTCTTTTGACATCTCAATTGTGTTTAATTTATTAAAAAATGTGGCAATACTGTTTAATATTCATTATAAAATAGTAACTACGTGTCACTTGACTCTACATGCTTCAAAATCCTTGGTATCATGACATTTTAAAGGAAATTTTGGGGTGTAGGATTGGGAATGTACCACAAAATTAAAAGGTTGATAATTTTTCTATCACGAATTCACGAGAAGTTAAATGGTAACTTATGTACTCATTTAAATATAAAATAGGATTTGCGGGTGTAAAATTTTAATTTGAAAGTTGAAATCAGGTTCAAGTATTAAACTTACATTGCGAGTTAAAACCGTGTATTACTGACCGAGTTGAAATTCAAGTACTTAAGGTTTCAAGATTAAGCACCGGTGTCGTCATGTTACAATTTTTTTTAGCCAATAGGAAGTTTTATTGCTCCCCCCTTCAGTAATACAAGAAGACGCTTGTCTTCTATATCTTCTGATAAAATCTGTATACCCTACCCATTTTCCCCCGCCATTAACCATTTGCAAACAATTTTTTCCCAAATCTTGCCAACGCGCTCAAGAAATGGAACGAAGGTAGACCCAATCGACGACGCCAGTAACATCGACGCCGACGACGACACGATGACGAATGCCACATTGTTATCCCCATCGTTTGCTGTGGACCCTAAACCCAGTTATTATAGAAATGAAGATGAAGTGGAGGGAGGCAAGTGTAACAACGGCAACAACACGGGTAACTTTTCTTCTTAATCTTCATATGGTGGTGATGCGAGTCCTTTTTCCATAAGAACGGGAGAGTGTTTCCTGGTCTTACTTAATGGGATTGGATTGCACATTCACATATACAAATGTGGGGGTTGAGGAGGAAGGTTAGCCGATTGATCTACAAGTAATCATCCAGGGCGGTAAGAGTAGTGGTGGTGGCACCATGTACAAAGCCGATTGGCATACAAGTAATCATCCGAATAAGAACCACTTGATTCACCTTCATAATGCACTATCTCATTGTCATATGGCGAAACATCTCACCACTTGAAATGCTGATAGTTACGAGTATAGCAATGGAACATCCGTCCTTTGTTCGCACTATTTTTTTCTCACCTCCATCCATTTCACGAACCCCTTATCACATTTTGGGCATCTTCTCTTTCTGGAGCATTTCGACAATGAGTGACCCAGCTGTCAGCAACTATGACAAATACCTCTGTTCCATCTTACCATCGAGCAAACTCTAATGCACAGTGCAATTGAACAAGCCCAAAGTCAGAATATCAACTCCATAAAATAGAGTGCAAGTGCAATTGAACAACACCAATTCATAATTATAATAACATTGTTCATAACTTACGACTGCATTGTCCAATTTATTCATAACATAAACACTTAGCGACTACATTTGCTATGTACAATTCAATGTAATCCTTTTCTGCTTTTTAAAATTTGACAGTTTCCGAATTTTATTATGTATATAAATGCAACACCCCACTCAGTAAATTTTGAGTTTTCACAAAAATCGCAACAAACGACTTCTACAATCAAACACCTTATTTTCACAAAAACGGGTTTTTTCATTCTTCATTGATAACCACTATAAAACTTAAGAACAATAAAAGCAATGTTTACTTGATTTTTAAGGAGCTTTAACCGAATCTATGTTTCATCGTCGATTGGAGAATTCCAAAGACCGACTCCGTGATTCGGACAATTCCACAGACCCACGTCGCCTGAGTGGGAAAATTCCATAGACCCACATCGTCGATTCAGAGAATTTCAGACCGGAGAAACGGACGAGTTAGACACGATAGTGAGAGACGGTAATGAGAGAGAGACAGAGAAGGCAATGAGAGAGGCGGCAATGAGAGACAAATATAACAAACCTGCTGGAGGGCGGCCTGGCTTTGAGCCTGGCCAAACAAGTTAATCCTAAATATAATTGGTTGAGTATTTGGGTGGATAATAAATGATGGGAGAGAAAGATAATAGGTTTGATCGTTTGACCCCTTTCTTTAAATTTAATTTCTAGCCATGTGTCAATACCAGGGGCGAACCTATTAAGGGTCCAGCGGGGGCGAAATTTCAAATACCTTTAGAAAAAGTTAGCAACAAACATTGGGTATTTGGTCTAGTGGTATATCTCTTGCTTTGGTTGCAGGAAGTCTTGTGTTCAATTCTTAGGATGGCTTTTTTATTATTCTTCTTGATTTTTGTTTTTGGCTCTTTTTCTCTTTTAATTTTTTGTATCAATTCCATCATACCACAAAAATGATTGAATAAAATTGATATAATTGTATTCCAATTAATTTTTCTGTTCTTGTAAAATCACAAAAGGTCGACAAAAAATAAAACAAAAAAGAACATACATAAAATGTTGTCTTTGAAGAAAAACAACTGTGAAAATTTAGTGACATTTCAAAGTGCTTCTCCACCAGACACCACCAACTTCGTCCGGACTTGAAACATTGAAAAAATGCTTTCACAATTTATTTTAGCTCATTTTTTTTTGTCTCGCCCCCACTGAAAAATTATCTTGGGTCCGCCCCTAGTCAATACTGTAACCAATGCTGTAGTGGCTTATGTACAAATAGAGTTTTTCATTTTTTTCTTTTTTAAATATTTGAAAATAATTCCCTTAACTAATTTAAACACAAGCACGATTTTTACCCATTGACAAAATCGCAGGAAACAACTCTTCGAATCTGACTAACGCTTTTTAGGTCTCTAGACAAAGGATCAGGAGAGTAGGCGGTCCTACCCAAAATGATTCCTACCGCTGTAATCCGGTCCTCCGCCCTCCCGCTCATCCACTCTTACTCCGCCACGAACAACGGCGGCAGCACCCCCGCTAATCTGGCTATAGACTGTCGGAATCTGAGCTTCTCAATCACCACTCGGCATGGAAAAGTTCTTCCCATCCTTAACGATTGCTCGCTCAGCATCCCCTCTGGACAGTTCTGGATGCTTCTTGGCCCCAATGGCTGCGGGAAATCCACCCTTCTCAAAGTATATATGTACATACTATATACTTCTAGTTTCAATTCTCGCTGTTAATTCAGAAATTTCAACATTGTTTCCAATTTAAAGCGTAGACACAAAACTTTGGGTGGTTGCAGGATTATTTTTGCGGTGTGCATTGATTGCTTGTAACTTTCTACGGCTGAGAGAGTGCCTTCTTTCTTTTTGCTATATTTTTATATTTTTGTTTGTGGTTTTTGGAATTGTACAGATTTTGGCTGGTTTACTGAATCCAAATGGCGGATTTTTGCATGTCGAAAAGCCTAGAAGTTTCGTATTTCAGAACCCTGATCATCAGGTTATCTAAAATGTGTGGATTGTTTCACGCTTCCTCACATAAATTTTGGGCATTCTAGTTATGCATATTAAATTCGATCATGGTATTGAATAGGCAACCGTGATTTTCAGTAAAGTGAAAAAAAAAAAGAAAAAAAGAAAAAAAATTTGATTGTAATGAGGTGAGTGCATAACTAGTATTAGATATTGGGACATGAAATTTGGCTACCTGTGCCTCATCATAATGTCCAAATCATGATGACATGGATTAATGATCCTTTCCATGACTTTATAACTTGGATACATAGACCAGTCTAGCATTATCTTTCTGATTCTTGGCTATTATGACGGTTAATATTGAGCAAAATTTTCACTTTTCATCAGAATATTGGCTATGTTGTTGGATATAAAATGGTTAGGTTAGAAACAGTGAGCATCTGTGGAAACTTTGATTTTTGAACAGACTTTCCCTATGGCTGTGGAAAGATAAGACTGGCAAATGTTAAAAACTAACAAAAAAAGGGAACACATCACATTTACATATGCGTATGTAAACCACACTGTGTTACTTATATAAAGAAGGGCTGATTATGTTTTAATGTCTTATAATAATGAAAAAAGTAGGAAAGACTATCTTCAATGGTGAACTTTTGGATGGGCTTCAGAAAATATGTTTTCCTATTACCACATATGTGTGGAATGGCTCGTTCTATCATCACACTGAAAGATATTTTGGGTTAGACACTAATGTTTACTGGGATAAAACTGTAGGAGACATGACTTTTCAATTTCCAGGTAGTGATGCCCACGGTGGAAGCAGATGTAGCATTTGGCCTTGGCAGGTGCAATATAAACCGTGATGAGGTTACATCTAGAGTGGCTAAAGCTTTGGATGCTGTAGGCATGTATGAATATGTGCAAGTACGTCAACAACACATACTACTTATAGATTTACAATGTGTGTCATGAGTTGGATTTTTTCTTACATTATCCTTTGTTGCCTTGCTTAGAGACCAGTTCAAACTCTTAGTGGTGGTCAGAAACAGAGAGTTGCTATTGCTGGTGCTCTGGCAGAAGCTTGCAAAGTATTGTTACTGGATGAACTCACAACGTTTTTGGATGAAAATGATCAGGTATTACAAATTTACTTTCGAGTTTTCTGGACAGAATTTCTTGACCAAGAAAAGATAATGAAGTACGTCCTGTCTCAATTTTGTGGGTTGGGGGAGGGGCAAGGTTATTTGCAGATTTGAATTGATTTTTTAGAATGTATTGTGACCCTAGTGAACCAAAATCTTGTCTGCATTACTTTTAAATGTTATTGGACTTTTGCTTGAAAGAATGAGGTAATTTTTTTTTTTTTTTTTTTTTTTTTTTTTTTTTAATTTTTTTTATTTTTTTTTGGGAAAAAAAAAACACAGCAAAATTTATGTAGTTCCTGGATCTTGATTTATTAGAGTTGAGGATATGCTTGGAGGTTGAGCATATATATCAAATATGATATTCTTGAAATGTGCGGAAGGAAACCATTAGAATAGGTGAACATGAACAATTTCTACAACAATTTCTATGGTTGAAATGTTGGACACGCAGCTCAAAGTAGTGCTTCTTTATCCCATAGTATCCTCCTGTAATACGCGTGGATTTAACACCATAAAATATCTTGATCAATTCACGGAATTAAGTTGCAAATTTTCAAAAAGTAAAATCTCAAGAAAAAGGGGAAATAGATTTTAATGATGCTGTTGTTGACTCTGAAAAAAAAAAAAAGAAAAAAGAAAAAAAGATAGATGAGTATAATTGAATGTGCAACAACATAAAATATCTTGATCAATACATGGATTTAACCTGCAAATTCTCGAAAGGTAAAATCTCAAGAAAATGGGAAAAAGATTTTAATTATCCTAAAGGCTGTTGATAACTCGGGGGAAAAAAAGGAAGGATAAATATTATTGAATGCACAACATTACTGGTCTTTGTAGTGTTGTTAAAGAAATCGCCCCAAGAAAAGAATGCTTTTGAGCGGACTGAATTCAGGTTTCCTATCTAGTGAGGTGACCATGTTGGTCAACTGTTCAAATATCGCATACTCATTTTTGTGAAAGACCCACTATTGTTTCTGAATGGACTCTCCAGGAAATAGATGCGACTCTACTAGGATGATCATACCCATCCAAGACATTGCCAAAGAACTAGGTTCAATTCTATTGCATGATCTTGGATGACATGCATTGGCAATTTTAATTGTTATTAATGTAGCTAGGTGGTAAATATATTAATGCTTCTATCTCCTTCTAATTTTTTCCATTTTTGCTTCTCCTCATTAATCAATTTATTATTGTTTATATTTTCGGCAAGTGGGTGGGGGTATTGGGGTTGTTCAGAAATATGCAAATGACATGTATATTGAAGCTTCTACGGTTCATAAAACAAATTCAGCAGCTTACAACATAGTTGTGCTTTAACGATCCCCAGCCAAACTCACAGAAGAAAAATGAAAAGAGAGAGTGATTTTGTGATTCAAAGTTTCTTAACTTGAGATACGTTGTGCGCTTCTGAACAAGATTATTTGTGACCCTTGCTAGCTTGGGGTTATTGAAGCAGTGAAGAGCTCATTGGCTACGTCCCAAGAAACTACAGCATTATGGGTGACCCATCGTTTGGAAGAACTCGAGTATGCAGATGGTGCTGTCTACATGGAGGATGGCCGAGTTGTATTGCATGGTGATGCTTCAAGCGTGTTGGATTTTGTGGAAGCCAGGCAAGCCTCTTATAATAACCAAAACAATTCTTGATTGCTCTTACAATTTACATTTTTCCAAACATATATCTTGAATTATCTCATGTATATTCATCGGTATTTGAATTTCGTTTTATTTTTTTCTTCATTTGCGTTGCTTAGATATTTAATCCACGGGTTGTTACTTGAATTTTAGGGCCATTAGGCATGACTTTTAAAAAGTCAAAAAAGAGCTTTTGAGATCCAAAAACTGTTTTTGGACCCGTTTGGCTAATTTTGTTAAAATGCTTTTAGTAATTAAAAGAGTTTTTAGAGGAATGCACTTTCAGAATGAAAAGTGCTTCTAAATATTAGTTTTCAAACAAAAATTAAGGTAGCTTCCTCACAAGTAGCAAAAGCAAAAGCAATGCCAAATGGGCGCTAAGAACTTTTATATACCCAATGTTCCTTATTCATCTTGTTTGAGTATGGTAATTATGTGTAGCTTCATTAGTTGCAATTTTTTCCTTCCCGCCAATATGAGAATATGAATATGTTGAACTAATATGACCTGCAACTAGCGGTGAATTAGGGGAAAATTAGGGATTGACTCCTCAACCTTTCAGGTACAGTGTTTGGGTCTTTAACCTTGAAGGTTAAGTTTTGAATTCCCTACTCGTTTAAAATTGAGAATCCATGTCTTCATGTGATCTTGACGGAATTGTCAATCATGTACAGTTTAAAATTGAATGTGGCATAAAGCTGGACATTAAGTGATTAATGCTTTAGCCCTCCAATTTTAAGTCAAGTAAAAGCTGCGTATGATTTAACGTCTATATTGATTGTGATTCAGAATTTACTTTTGAAAGTTGAGGACTTAAAGCTACACTAATTAAAGGTTAGGGACTCTTGACCCTAATTTGCTATTAAATTAGACAAGATTGGATATGTTCAACTTATTGATTGTGCTATCTGTATGTGACAATTTACAAGCGTTTTTACCAACATATAACGTGACAAAATTTTATTGAGTCAAAACTTCATCAATCAAATAAAAAAAATTCACCAATTTCTTTTTGGCATTAAAGCACATTACCCGTGTGTTTGGCCCCATTTTTTTTTTTTTTTTTTCCAATTTTTCCCCCAAAAACTTTCCCTCTTTCCTCTCACATTTTGAAATTTGAACTACACAATACTCATAAACCGCTCTTCCCCAATCTCTATTCTTCAATCCAATAAACCATTTTTCTCCAATCTCCAAACTTCATTATCTATTCTACATTCAATTACGAAATTTTAGATTTTCCAATTTTGCCTCCAAAACTCATTCTGCTTGCTGGCAGCATGCAGTGAAACTTCAGAAGAAATGTCAGGGCCATAATACCATTGAAAATTGATGGATAATTTCAGCCCCAAAAACAATTGCGTAATTTACATCCTTTCCCTCCCTTCTTGAAATCCACTTGCCATCAATTGAAGGGCAGATTTGACAAGGAAGAAATTCCAAATACATTTTACAGCTTTTGTCAGAAAGCCTGTCTATTTTGTCTACCCTATGGCCCACACCATTGAAAAATTTGGTGGAAAATGAGATGAGAATGAGAATAGAATGAGACTCAAACAGGAGCTACATAAGCACAATTGTCTAAGTGCTAAAGAAATTTTGAAAATTGTAATTCAATTTATCATCACCTAATCATCGTGTAAAATAATACGTAAATGTTAATGTGCAACGAACATTGTCCTCAACTTATAAAACATGGAACAATAGTCTTCATCTTCATTCAATTTATATGCTACAGATACGCGATACTGCATTATTAACACCTAAACAACTTAGTCTTGATATTTGACTACGTTTACTCTTGAAATTATTCTTAATTTAACTCAAAAGTAAACATGCAAACAAAATTGACTTGGATATGTGCCACGAAATTCGAATGATTCTTCAATCCATTAATCGTGCATATCTAACACAAAATTAAGTAAAAGCATAAAAGAGAAATATTTAATCCACACTAGCTAACTTGTTCCAGCCTTTTTATGCTGATTATCATCCATGAAAGCATAGATACACAATTATTTAGAACCAAACGAAAGTTAGATAAATGTTGAACTAAAAGTGAAGTTAATTACCTAGTTAGCAAAGCGACAGCCAATGTCAAATAAATTACGACCCATGAACAGCATTTTGACGTGCAATGCCGCAGCGTTTATTCGTCGATGCGCATGAAACAATTCTTTGGAAAGTTGTTCTAAGAAGAAATAAAATTTTAAAAAATTGAAATAGGCATTATATTTGTTTATAAAGGAATGAACCCCATTTTGCGTACAGGGGTGGCTTCACATGGGCTGTATAGGTTACACACAATGTGGGGG